CCTCCTCCTCCTCCTCCTCCTCCTCCTCCTCCTCCTCCTCCTCCTCCTCTTCCTCCTCTTCCTCCCGTTGGCTTCTGGCACGATCCGCGCGCCAGGGAGGGGGGATCCCGCGCCGGTCCGAGAAATCTTGGCGGATCTCCGAGTCTCAATGTTTACATCATTGCTTTTTCCCCTGGTCTCTCGCCCCCCCCCCGCTCGTCTCTCTTCCTCCTCGACCTGCTCGCTGCGCCGGCCTCTCGGAGAGCAGAAGGGGGTCGAGGAACCACCTGGCCACGCCCAAATGCCGGAGGATGAGCCTGCAGGAGAGGAGCCTGAGACCGACGACGTGCCAGCACAGGGCGGGAGGGCAGGGAGGGAGCGAAGAAGGAAGAGGAGGAGGGGAGAGGGAGCGAAGGGAGGAGGAGGAGGAGGAGGAGGAGGAGGAGGAGGAGGAGGAGGAGGAGGAGCAGGAGGAGGAGGAGGAGGAGGAGGAGGACGAGGAGGTGGAGGAGGAGGAGGAGGAGGAGGAGGAGGGGGGGGGGGGAGCGAGGGGGAAGGGGAGGAGGAAAGGAGGGTTGTGATAACTATAGTGTGGTCAGGTAGGAGGCGGGGGAGGGAGGGGGGGGAAAGTTATTTAGGGGACAAGCAACGGGCATGAATGGTTTCACTCAGGATGACCGCTTAGGCGCTCCTGGCGGCCGCCTCTGGGCGCCGCCCGCCACTTTTTGTTTTCAATCCCTGGAACGCCACGGGCTCGATCGCGGAGCCCCGCTCAACGCAGGCAAGGAGAGGGGGGGGTCCTCTGGGCAGGGCGCTCCCCCCTCCAGAAGCCGAGAGTCCGGCTGCGGCGGGGCTCGGGGCCGCGGCAGACGCAGTCGGGACGACTTTGACGAAAATCACTCTCGCGGCCCGCTTCCGGCGGTGATGCGGTGAGCGTCTTTTTATTGATTCCTTTGCCGACCGCCGCCCGCGGGCCCTCGCACCCCCCCCCCCACCTCCCCCCGCCCGCTGGAGTAGATCTTGCTCTGTTTGGGGCGCGTGCTTCGAGCGGGCGGAGAGGCTCCCCCCGCAGGGACCGCACGGTCCCAAACAGTCGGGCACTCAGCAGAGGTCCGGAAGCCCAGACCCCCCCCCCTCACCCCCCCAACGCGCCGCCCCACACAATGTCGAAGTGATGGTGAACAAGGAAAAACGCTCACCAAGCCGGCTTCGCGGAATCTGCCCCGAGGCGAGTCCTTTGGGACCCCGCCTCCCAGTCCCCGAAGCCCGTCCTTGACGATGTCGGCCACGGCCTTCGCGTTGAGCTTCGGGCTGCCGCGGTCGAGCTGCGGCGGCCGAAGAGCCCTCGAGAACATGGCCGACGGCCACAACCCCACCCTCCTCGTCCAAGGTGCCAGGGTGCAGCCCTTGCAGCAGCAGGTGCACCCTCTCCTCCTCGCTCGTCGGGTCCGAGGTGGCCCCAGCGTCTTTGCCCGAGGTGTCGGACTCGGCGAGGTCCGCGTCGGTGCAGAGGTCGCGCTCGGACTTCAGCTCCGCCCTCGTCCCCAGGCACGTTCTCCGCGTCCTCGCTCGCCCGAGCCGTCCCCTGTGGACTCCGCAGCCAGGCAGCTGCTGTCGAGATGGTGCGACCAGCGACGCCTGGCCTTGCTCACCATGGCGCCCAGGGGAGCGACATCGGCCTCCTCCTGCACGGCGCCTCCCTCTGCGCCGGCGCAGTCCGGGACCGCCAGGTCGACCTCCTGCTCCTCCTCCTCCTACTCCTCCTCCTCCTCCTCCCCTCGTCCTCCTCCTACTCCTCCTCCTCCTCCTCTTCCTTCTCCTCCCTCCTCCTCCTCCTCCTCCGTCTCCTCCTCCTCCTCCTCCTCCTCCTCCTCCTCATCATCATCCTTCTCCTCCTCCTCGTCCGCCTCCTCCTCCCTGGCTGATGCTTACTTCCACCAGCGCTGCGGCTTCGCTTCACACCTGCTGTTCGAGCAGCTTCCCCGGCCGTACCACGGCGCAGTAGTTGGTCCGTGCGGTCGCTGTTGCAGTCCGTGGGGTCGCTTCTCGCCTGCGTCTCCTCTCCCACGCCGCTGCCTCGTGCTCCTCTGAGCGCTTCGACAGCTCGGCTAGGTTCAAGCATGCCCGATTGCCCGTCTCCGCCGCGCGCTGCGCCGCCTTGGCCGCCCACGTCTCGTCCTGCTTGGCCTGCCAGGCTGGCGTCACCCAGCGAGCGCCCGCCTCGGCGGGCGGCTGCATCTTCTTCCCGTGCTGCCCCTCGCGCTTGATCACCTTCGGCGTGCGCCTCGGCGACTCCGCCACGCCGGGTCGCTTCGCCGCCCGTGCGGGAGGCGTCGTCGATACTGCTGGAGAGGAGGTGCTCCCTGTCGTGGCGGCAGACCGCGCACGTGCAGGTTCCGAGCCGTCCGCGTAGACAACCTGCACGTCCGTCGCGGCCCCTTCATGTCCCGGAGAAGATCCTTCACCCTCACGGGCTCTTCGGCCTTCTCCGTTGAGTCGCTCTCCGTGTAGGGCGTCGGCGACTCTTCCGTGGCGTCGGTTCCCAGTCCAGCACGATTCCCTCTGTCCAGGCGCGGGGAGCCGGCGCTGGCGAGTCGTCCTGCAGAGGAGTCCTGCACGGGCTCGTTGGTCAGCATCTGCTCGGCCATCTCGTCCTCCAGGACAGCTGCAGTTTTCGCCCAGACTTTTTTGCCAAGAGCGGCTTCCGCTCTTCCTTCACGCAGCTCAACACCTGCGCGTTGACAACCTGAAGGATGTCCTAGGATTCAGTCGGGCATGTCCCTCTAGAGGAAGAATATTCAGAAACAGTGAAAACGACTTTTCGACTATTTTTGATCATTTGGGGGTATTTTTTGACCATCGTTATTTGTCCTCAAAAATCCCCCTGTAGGGGGACATGCCCGACATACTCGTAAGTCGGGCGTGTCCCTCTGCAGGGGGAATAGTCAAACATAGCCAAACAATAGGCAGGGGACGATTTTGTTTGACTAGTTTTGTGTGTTTGGGAAGGGCTTTTTTTCGAGGATGTTTTATTATTTGTCGCACAACATCCCCCTGTATGGGGGACACGCCCGACCTAAACCTACAGTCGGGGCGCTGGAGAAGGAACCCTCTCCGTTGGGGAGGGGCTCCGTGTTCCTTGATTGTTTCGCAGCTTGCCTCAGGTTTTCCTTTGGTTTTCGAGGGGGAATCGAAGTTTAACTTACGGGAAAGGAGGGGCCCCGTTCCTGATTTTGGTCGGGGGTGGACATAACCCCCAACACTGACACGTCGATTAGTGAATTGTGCGTTTTCGGTTCTCGAGATGGCGCCGTGGCCGTCATTTTCCAGGCTTGCGCCCGCCAGGTTTGGGCCTCAGGTCGTTTTCACTAAACCACGTTTTACTAACGGGGGGTCTGTCCATCCCCGATTGTGCTTCTTTGCCACATGGGCGAACCTCCCACCGCCGCGGCCACGTGCAGGACGGGGCTAGGAGGGAGGAGGAGGAGGTCCTCCTCCTCCTCCTCCTCCTCCTCACCCTCCCCCTCCCCCTCCCCTCCTCCCCCCTCTCCCCCTCCTCCTCCTCCTCCTCCTCCTCCTCCTCCCCCTCCTCCTCCTCCTCCTCCTCCTCCTCCTCCCCCTCCTCCTCCTCTCATCCTCCTCCTCCTCCTCCTCCTCCTCCTCCTCCTTCTCCTCCCTCTCCTCCCTCTCCTACCTACGGCAGTGGTGGTGGAAAATGGGCCCATCAGTACCGCTGTCCATCCCCGATTAGGGTTCCTCAGGTCAACGCCCCGACTGTAAATCCCAGGACAGCGGGCGAGGGACCGTCGCCGGGCCCCCCGGGGCCCCCCGCGCGGCCCGGGGGCCCTCGGCGGTGCCGCGGCATCGGCATCCCGCCTCCGCGGGTGGCCGGCAGGGCGCGGGAGGGGCCGCTTCGGCCGGGCACCTTTGCGCCGCTCGGCAGCTCGGACTGTCAAACGGCGCGAAGATCGGGACAACATCGGATCGGGATAACTCGGAATCTCTGAGAATCGGCGGGTTGGGAGGGTGTATGGGGCGCCGCGGCCGCTCCAGAGCGTTCCGGGACGCTCTGGGAGCGCTCCGGAACGCTCTGGAGCGATTTATCCCGATCCCAGCCCTGTTTTAAATTGCACATGGTTCATGTCTGATTCCTCGAAGGTTCTGAGATTTTTTGGGGGGGCCAAGATCCAAGAGCCTTTCGTTCCTAATTCTTCTATCCGGGGCCTCTTCCTGGCCACCAGGGGGCCAGGGACCATGAGAAAGGAGCGCAATCAGAAATGAGCACGACTAGAGATGAACGACGTGTAAGTCGAGCGTGTCCCTCTACAGAAGGAGCCTTAGAAAATAGTCCAAAATTTCTCAGGGTACGATTATTCTGGTATTTTTGGACTATGTTTGGGTCTGTTTGCCTGTTTTACAACTGTCGCCCCAAATCCGCCTGTTTCAAACATTTTCGCCCAAAATCCGCCTGTAGAGGGACATGCCCCACCTAAAGCTCGGATTACGAAGCGCTGACTCCCGCCCCCGAGCCAGGGCCAGAATGGTTGGGAGAGGGAGCGGGAGAAATCGGATCCCTGACAGATGTACGAACAGAAAAGTACTGGCCGACTGAGGGCTACTGGGTCGAAGCCCACGGCGAAATCTGCCGATGAATTCCTGCCGCTTCTTCGAGGTCTTGGAAAGGGTTCCGCAGAGCAGCAAGCGATCCAGTCTGCTGGGGCTCACAGAGGCCGCACCCGCGGCTAATCCAGACCTGGGAGTTCTCGACACACCACAAAGCGTGGTAGACATGGGCCCACACACACCCCAGAGAGGGGAGGAGGAGGAGGAGGAGGAGGAGGAGGAGGAGGAGGAGGAGGAGGAGGAGGAGGAGGAGAAGGAGGAGAGGAAGAGGAGGAGGGAGGAGATTTCGGGAGGAGGAGAAGGAGGATCTGGGAGGAGGAGGAGGACAATAATGAGGAGGATCAGGAGGAGGAGGAGGAGGAGGAGGAGGAGGAGGAGGAGGAGGAGGAGGGATGATGCGGATGGGGACGGGGAAGTAGTTGAGGGAGGATGCGGATGGCTTCATGTAAAAGGGGCAACACTTGGAGACGTCAGCAGTCAGACGGCGAGGATCGATCTAGAGTTTGGGCATGGCGCAAGGGCACTCTTCCAGAAGACTTACATATTGGTCGAAGATTGTGTGGCCCAGTTGAGCAAGGGTCAGCAGTCAGCATGTACCATGTTACAGCACCAGCATCTTGCGAGAGAAAGGGAGAAGAGGGAAAGAGAGAGATAGAGAGAGACACAGAGACGGGGGGGGGGGGAGAGAGAGAGAGAGAGAGAGAGAGAGAGGAGAGAGGGAGTGAGAGGAGAGAGAGAGAGAGAGAGAGAGAGAGAGAGCGAGAAATGGAGGGAGGGGGAGAGAGAGAGAGAGAGAGAGAGTGTGAGTGAGTGAGAGGTAGAGAGGAGCCAAAGACAGCCAGCTGTGATCCCATCGCGGCCCAAAATATGGGTCGATTGTCTCCCAGAGCAATCCAAAGTAGTTCTGAACAATGCAAAGCAATTGATCGGTATTGCTTAGCATTGCTTGGTGTTGCGGGTGTCGCTTGACATTGCTTGGAGTCGATGCTTGACGTTGCTTCGCAGTGCTTTGAGTGGCTCTGCATGTGTAGGAGTTACTCAGCGTTGCTTGGCGTTGCTTAGAACCGATGCTTGGAATTGGCTCTGCAGTACTGGGCATTGCTTAGCATCGCTTGGCACTGCTTGGCATTGCTTGGCATTGCTTGGCGCTGCTTGGCATTGCTTGGCGCTGCTTGGCGCTGCTTTGGGCGCTGCTCGGCCCTGGGCAGCCCCCAGCTGCGTCGGGGGCCGCCCGGGTCATGCTGGGCACCCCCCGGGCAACTCGGAGCAACCCCCGGGCAGCCCCGAAGAGCGCCAGCGGGAAGCCACTGGGCCCCCGAGCCCACGCCGCTCCTACCGCAGGCATAAGTCGGGGCCCCTTTGGGGTCCAAGACGCTGCCAGGAGAACCGCTTCGGACTCGGTAGGGGCTCGCTTGATCGAGGTCCTCTCGCGGTGGCTCCTCTGGCCCTCCTCGTGCACCCAGGCTCGTCTGGTGCCAAGAAGGGGCGTCGCTCCTTACCTTGCCCTCCTTATATCTCAGCAGCCCGACCGCAAGAGCCCCCTGGTCGGGTCCCGACGTGGAGAGGACCGCAGAGCACAAGCAGAAGCAGGAGCACAAATGCTCGGAGCTCCGCGCGGACTCCTCGGATCGGCGCTCGGCCCCCCTGCCGGCGCCCCCAGCGCCGCCCCCTGGCGCGCTCCGCTCGGCAGGGAGGGGGGCCGGCGCTGGTCCAGGGAGGCCCGCGCGGACCTCCGAGAAGCGATGCCGATGCCGTGTGTGTTTCGCTTCCTCCTCCTCCTCCTCCTCCTCCTCCTCCTCCTCCTCCTCCTCCTCCTCCTCCTCCTCCTCCTCCTCCTCCTCCTCCTCCTCCTATTTCCCCTCCTTCCGAGAAAGAGCTAGCTGGCGCTGCACGCGCCACGAGCAGGCAGCCTCCCTCCCGGCCGTGTGCCCCTGGAGGCTCCCTCCCGCCGGCTCCACGGTGCCTCGGCATCGCCCGGGCTCGGCGAGAGAACCGTCGAGGGCCATCCTGGGTTGGGTTTGTCCGGGGGTCAGAGAACGGGGTCGTCTGTAGGAATGGCCCCAGAAGTGGCGGGGAAAGCGATTAAAACGGAAATCAGTTTTCGTTTTGGTGTGAAGGTTTTTGGGGTCAATTTGTTGTTTTGAATTATGTTTGGGTTAAGCTCTGGCTCCATATTCGTACTGTTGGTGTGCATTTGAAAGTGTCGTTTGTTCTTCACTATTGCATATGCGTCGGTCTTCGGGGTGGGTTGTCCGATGGTCTAGGCGCAGCTGCCGGCTTCGACCAGTGCCCCAGGGCGTCGGTGTTCGGCCGTGGTTTTGCAGTTGCGTCTTGCGATGCAAGTTGGTCTTCGGCCTCGGTATTAGTCTTCGGCCTCGGTCTTGCGATGCCGCCTGTCTGCGACCTCGGCCCACGTGGTAGAACAACGAAGATCGACTTCAGATTTGCGACGGGGGGGCGGTCTTGATTTCCTGGGTTCTGCGTGCACCATCGCTCACCGACGGCGCGGTTCCCCTTGGGTCCCGTGACGCGTGGTTCGTTCTATGGCCCGCGGCGCCAACGGCCTCGTTGCCGCGGGGCACGCGAGCACGCGCTCGTCTGCGCGAGTATTGTGTCGCACCGCGCAGCGCGAAGCGGGCGAACGCACGAGCGCACATCTTCAACAGCGAGGCTTCGATATCACGCGCTGTTTGCCCGGGGACTCGCGTTGCACAGCCGAAGGAAGTGGGCGAGTCCTCTGAAAAGAGCACCGCGTGCGCGTCGCCGAGTGCGTTTCGCATTGCGCCCAGCTGCCAGAAGCAAGTCCCTCCACCGCGCCAGTCCAGCACTTTGGGCGGCGACTGTTCGAGCGATGGAAACGGCGATGGCGGCGACGAGGACGGCGACCATAATGCGAAAGAGACAAACATTAGGCTGTCACACGTGCGCACTCCCAATGGATTTCTTGAAGAGCCCTCATGGAGTTCAATTGGGCCGTATCAGGGCAGTCTTCGATTCTTGTGGGGCCGTCTTGCGGGCCCCTTGC